TGTGGGCCAGGTGCAGTGGCTCACTTTGTAATCCCAGCACTTTGGGAGGTCAAGACGGGTGGTTTGATACCAGCCTGGGCAAGATGGCAAAACCCTGTCTCCACAGAAAATGTAAAAACTTAGCTGGACATGTTGGCATGTGCTTGTAGTCTCAGCTACTCAGGAGACTAAGGCAGGAGAATCATTTGAGCCCAGGAAGTCAAGGCTGTGGTGGGCCGTGACCGCACCATTGCACTTCAGCCAAGGTGACAGAGTCAGACTGTCTTAAAACAAAAAGAGATGGAAAGATATCAACAGTTAGAGAAACCAAACCATCTACCCAGAAAAGTAAATGTCATTCCTAAGGACTGTTTCATATTGTTGGGGGAAATGCCCTAAATATTGCCCATAATAGTTATCCATTGCCACAAAACACATTTTCCCAAAACATAACAGCTTCAGGACAAACTGCCTTTGCAAAATTACGATGTAAGAAAAATCTGACATAGTTGATTCCATCTTGCATATAACCTCCAAGCTGTCCTTGGTCATTCCTGGGTGTAGGGCAAGTTAACCTTGGGAAAAATTTAGTTTATTCCAGCAAGGATGATGCTAACCCTTCCTAAAATTAAACTGCCTTCATAAAGCCAGTGAAAGACCACAAGGTTAGGATGATGAGAGAGGCCTGAATTCTGCTAAGACAGAGTTATTAAATAATAACCAGCCATTGTTCTGAGGTCACAAGATTTGCAGCCTCCACAGTTGCCCGTGTAAAGCAAATCACTATTGTAGCACCTGAGCTTGGTCTTTTGAGGTAATTTTGCACTTTTGCATTAGGGCAACTGACTGACCCCACCTGCTTGCCATTTGTGACTCAACAGGTCCGCCCACATGCGGACCTAGCCTACAGGACCATTTTCCACACCCTACGATTCCATCCCCAACCAATCAGCATTCCCTGTTTCCTAGCCCCCCTGCCCACCAAACTTGAAAAACCCAAACCTCCAAGCCTTGCGGGGGGAGACCGCTTTGAATACTAACTCCCTCTTCTGCCAGGTCAGCCTCACATCAGTTACACTTTCTTTGCTGCAATGCCATAGCCTCAGTGAATTGATATTTATTTGTGCAGAGGGCGGGAGAAAGCCTTTGGGCAATTGCAAAACAGCATTCATTATCTCTTGTAGTTTCTGTGGATCTGGGCTGGAGGAGCAGCTCAGCTGAATGGTTCTGGCTCAAGGTCTGTCATGAGGTTGCAGTCTCTAAAGATACAACTGGGGCTGCAGGATTCACTCCCACCTCACTGGTGGATCTACTGGCATGAGGCTCTAGTTCCTTGGCACATGGTCGTCCCCAGTACGCTAACATGGTTTCAGTCAGAGCAAGTGATGAGATGGAGAGAAGACAGGGATAGAGAACCAAAAGAAGTACGGTCCTTTATCATCAAACCTAGGAAGAGACATGCCATGACTTCTGGTTAATTCTGTTGGTCTTAAGATCAGCCTTGGCACATTGTGGGAAGGGACAGCACAAGGTGTGACTACCAAAAGAAAGGAATCGTTGGGGTCTCTCTTGGAGGCTGGCTCCCACTCTGTTCCCTAGCCCCCATAAATCCACAGTCCTCCTGCATGTAACTACATTCACCAGCTCCCAAGGAACAAAACAGTCCCATCAGCTCACAGCATCAGCCTAGAGTTCATCTTATCTATGTTAGGTCCAGGGGCAGATGGCAACCCCAGGGTGTGGTTCTAGGTACAGCTCTAAGACACTGTTCCTCCTGATCTGCAGGGCTGAGAACTAGAGATGAGTTATCACCCTCCCAATACCCAGCATGCAGTGGCGGGACAGTTACATGATTCCCAGATGCTCATGTTCAGAAAGGCTGCAAATGAAAGGTACACACACTGCTGGTCCATAAGCAGCTGTGAAATCCAGCTGTGTGAGCACTGGGACCCAGGGATACTTGTGCCAGGAAATGACTTTCCAGACTCTTGACTACGCTGGGAGGCCTTGATTTCATCTTAGAAGTCACACTTTTGCATGAACGGTAGCATGGATTTACAACAGAGCATTTTTCTCACTTGCTTCCCGCCTGTAGAACCTTGCAAGTCTGAAGGCCTGTTTTGTGTTTTTTTGGTGGGGGGAGGGGTTTACTTTGTCTCTTTCAGTTCAGGTTGACCAGGTTACTGCTGATGTAATTATTTTTTTAAACATTGTCTTTTCTGTGAACCATATTGAGATATGATCTCTGATTTTTCTTTTTTCTTTTAGAGATGAGGTCCTGTTCTGTTGACATGATCTTGGCTCACTGCGTCCTCAGTCGCTGAGCCCCAGTCCCACCTTAGCTTCCCAAGAAGCTGGGACTACAGGCACATGCCACTGTGCCAGGCCAATTATTTTTTGCAGAAATAGGTTTTTATCTTGCCCATGCTGGTCTTGAACTCCTGCACTCAAGCAATCCTCCCACCTCAGCCTCACAAAGTGTCAGGATTACAGGTGTGAGCCACTGTGCCTGGCCCACCTTTGACTTCTCTCAGATTTTAACAAAAGATTTTATAGTTATACCCTCACTTTAATCTTTACACCATATTTTCATGAGTGTTCTGAATTTAATCTTTGCACTGAAGCTACTCTAAATGTTAGAGTAATGATTTGCCACCTGAAGAAGCTGTGAATCTTCCAAACCAGTGAGCCCTGGTTTCTTTTCCACAGTTCTTCCTTTAGCTTATTTCATTCCTCTTCGTTTATTATAAGCAGCAAGAAGGAACCAATGACATTTTCAGTCTAATTGGAAACAGACTTAGCTAGATCACTCATTCATTAGCTGTATCTTCCATTTTCCACAATACTGTGGGTGATAGCGTTGCTTAACTTTCTGCCTCTAACCAGGACTTCCCTTTCTCTGGGAATAATTCCAAGTTCAAGTGATCCTTGTGCCTCAGCCTTCCAAGTAGCTGGGACTACAGGTGCTCGCCACCACGCCTGGCTAATTTTTGTATTTTTAGTAGAGAGGAGGTTTCACCATGTTGGCCAGACTACTCTTCCACTCCTGGGGCCTCAGGTGATGTCTGCCTTGGCCTCCCAAAGTGCTAGGATTACAGGCATGATACACCACGCCTGGCCAAAAACTGTTTTAGAGGTGGGGTTCTTGCTATGTTGCCCAGACTGGTCCTCAAATTCCTGGGCCCAAGCAATCCTCCTGCCTTAGCCTCCTAAGTAGCTGGGACTGACTACAGGTGTGCACCACCATGCCCGACTCCAACTGTGAGGCTTTTATCCACAATTTGAAGGCACTGTGGGCTTTCACCAGCACTCTCCTCGAAGCCCACTGCCTGATTCCAAAGCCACTCCTGCCCAGGAGGATTTTGTTAAGGCAGCACCTTGCTAACAGATACACACATCTGTGTTAATTATTGCTCCATTACAAATGAACTCAAAACTTAGCTGCCTCAAACATACGACCTCACAAATTGGGAGCATCCTATCCCAGTGGTTCCAGCTCGAGGCTCGCATGCAGCTGTACTCAAGCTGTTGGCCAGAGTGGCTGGCTCTGAAGACTTGGCTGGGACCTGAGGCCACCTCTAAGCTTCCTCTCGTTGCTGTGGGCAGGAGGCTTCAGTTTCTTGCTGTGTGGGCCTCTCCATGGGGCTGCTCACACAGGACTTCTTCCCCCAGTGTGAGGGACCCAAGAGAGACCACCAGAACAGCCATGGTCTATTATAACCTAATCTCAGAAGGGAGATGTGGTACCACTTTTTTTTTTTTTTTTTTTTTTTTTTTTTAGGACTCAAGTGATCCTCCCACTTCAGCCTCCCTAGTAGCTGCAACTACAGGCATGTGCCACCATGCCTGGCAAATTTTTGTATTCTATAATTTTTGTATTTTATATTCTTTGTAGAGATGGGGTTTCACCATGTTGCCCAGGCTGGTCTTGAACTCTTGGCCTCAAGCAATCTGCCTGTCTTGCCCTCCCAAAGTGCTGGGATTACAGGCATGAGCCACTGCACCTGACCTCATTGTTTTCAATGTGAGATAGTCTAGAACCAACCTGCCCTCCCACCCCAAATTTAAGGTTGAGACAACTTACTGTTTATTTTCAAAGAAGTATTAGGTATCTAACATACAGTAGGTACTTCTGAGGGCAAGAAAAAACACTGTCCTTGCCCTTAAGGAATTGCCCATTAAGAAAAAACACCTATAATACAGTGTAATACATTCTACAGGAGAGATATAAAGGGAATGCCTGGAGAGCCAGATAAGCAGACTTTTTGTTTGTTTGTTTTTTTGAGAGGGAGTCTCCCTCTGCTGCCAGACTGGAGTGCAGTGACGCAATCTTGGCTCACTGCAACCTCCGCCTCCTGGGTGGAAGCAATTGTCTTGCCTCAGCTTCCCAAGTAGCTGGAACTACAGGTGCGCACCACCACATCTGGCTGATTTTTACATTTTCAGTAGAGACAGGGTTTCACTGTGTTGGCCAGGCTGGTCTCCATCTCTTTACCTTGTGATCCACCCACCTGGGCCTCCCAGAGTGGTGGGATTACCGGTGTGAGCCACCACGCCTGGCCTGAGGAGACTTTTATTTACTTTTTTGAGACAGTTTTGCTCTTGTTGCCCAGGCTGGAGTGCAATGGTGCAATCTCAGCTCACCGCAACCTCTGCCTCCTAGGTTCAAGTGATTTTCCTGCCTTAGCCTCTCGAGTAGCTGTGATTACAGGCATGCACCACCATGCCCAGCTAATTTTTTGTATTTTTAGTAAAGACGGGGTCTGTCCATGTTGGTCAGGCTGGTCTTGAACTCCAGACCTCAGATGATCCGCCTGCCTTGGCCTCCCAAAGTGCTAGGATTACAGGCATGAGCCACCATACCCAGCCAGTATGCAGACTTTTAAAACAGCATGGGAAAAGAACGGAATGAATAGAAAAAAGTTAAGAGCCTTTTATAACCACACTTGTGAATTTGGTGTTATAGTGCATGACTTTGTCATTACAGATTTATAAGCAGGAGAGGGAAGTGATCAGATGTATTTTTAAAAATTCACCTATATTTTAATGTTTTCATAGTTTTATTTTTAAAAATACTGATTCACTTGCAACTTTAAATGTTACAATTAATACAAGAAAAAATTATATAAATTGCAAACATGAGTTCAGTCAACTGCAATGCATACCCATCAGAAAGAACTTTAAAGCCTTCAAGAACTTTGAAACTTCTTTCAAGTTTGTAATTTCAAAGAAATACAGCAGAATAAACATTCCTGCTAAGACTCTGAAGGATCTGACTAAATCATGAAATATTCATTGTGTGGAAAGATGGATTGAAGAGGCAGAAAGCAAAGTTCTACAGCTTTGTTTTCTAACACACTGAGAAATGTCAGCTGGGAAAATATTAATTACTGAGTACCTAACTGTACACATGTTTACCTCATTCTCATTTGGGACATTGTAAAATGGAACAGTCCACAGATTATTATATGCAGAAAGCAATCCTTTTCCAATCCTATTCCCACAGATAGCAGCATTCAAGTGTTTACTGCCCTGAGCTCAATTGAGGTATAGTGTGACTTTCAACATGAAACCTTTATTGTGCCAGAAGGTCATGGCACAGCTGAGTTCATGCAGAACAGGGAGCTCTCTTCTTCCCTAGTTGCTCTGCTCCTTCTCTTCCAGGATGAGTACAGTGTCCACGGTTATTCCAATGTCCTCCAGCGACTGGCCTCCCTCCACTGCCAGAGGCCGTCTGGGAAAGGAAGTAGAAAGGCTGTATAGAGATGTTTGGTACCCAATTCTCATCATCCAGTCAAATAAGACCTAGAAGATAAAAAGCTTAGCTTGGTCATTATCAAATACTTGACAGACTGTGTCCCTTTATACCTCTGTAACATTTTACAATTTTGTCAATGTAAAATCATATGCCTAGGAGTAATGAGACAGAGCTTTCATATTTTTCAAATCAACTTTGTAGAATTTAAAGGAGAATAGCTTGCCATGAGTTTTGAGATAAAATTTTTTTTTTTTTTGAGACGGAGTTTCGCTCTTGTTACCCAGGCTGGAGTGCAATGGCGCGATCTCGGTTCACCGCAACCTCCGCCTCCTGGGTTCAGGCAATTCTCCTGCCTCAGCCTCCTGAGTAGCTGGGATTACAGGCACACACCACCATGCCCAGCTAATTTTTTGTGTGTTTTTTTTTTTTTAGTAGAGACGGGGTTTCACCATGTTTACCAGGATGGTCTCGATCTCTTGACCTCGTGATCCACCCACCTCGGCCTCCCAAAGTGCTGGGATTACAGGCTTGAGCCACCGCGCCCGGCTTTTTTTAATTTTTTTTTATTTTTTCCGGAGACAGAGTTTCGCTCTTACTGCCCAGGCTGGAGTGCAATGGTGTGATCTCGGCTCACCACAACCTCTGCCTCCCAGGTTCAAGAGATTCTCCTGCCTTAGCCTCTCAAGTAGCTGGGACTACATGTGTCCGTCACCATGCCCAGCTAATTTTTGTATTTTTAGTAGAGATGGGGTTTCACCATGTTAGACAGGATGGTCTCGATCTCATGACCTTGTGATCCACCTGCCTCAGCCTCCCAAAGTTATGGGATTACAGGTGTGAGCCACCGTGCCTGCTGCATTTTTAATGCATATGTAATTATATGTTTAAATGTACTTAGAGATGGAAATATACTGAAATGTTAGTAACTGCTTTTGGCATGAGATTACAGATCAATTTTTTTCTCTGCTTTTCCATGTGTTCCCAATTATTACTAATAACTACAGTTTTGTTGTTATTTACTATTTTTGAGACAGAATCTTGCTCTGTCACCCAGGGTGAAGTGTGGTAGCACAATCTCAGCTCATTGCAACCTCCGCCTCCCAAGTTCAAGTGATTCTCCTGCCTTAGGCTCCTGAGCTGCTCAGATTACAGGTATCCGCCACCATGCCTGGCTAATTTTTGTGTTTGTAGTAGAGAGGGGGTTTCACTATGTTGGCCAGGCTGGTCTCAAATTCCTGACCTCAAGTGATGCACCTGCCTTGGCCTCCTAAAGTGTTGGGATTATAGACCTGAGCCACTGCACCCAGTTCACAGTATTGTTTTTTTTTTAAAAAAAAAAAAGTCTAAAGTTTTTTAGCGGCTACTTCCTAAGGCTTTAAAAGCATCTTACCAGCTGGGAATGGTGGCTCACGCCTGTAATCCCAACACTTTGACAGGCCAGTGCAGGCAGATCACAAGGTCAAGAGATCAAGATCATCCTGGTCAACATGGTGAAACCCAGTCTCTACTAAAAATACAACAAATTAAGTTGGCCATAGTGGCACGTGCCTGTGGTCCCAGCTACTTGGGAGGCTGTGGTTGCAGTGAGCCGAGATCACGCCACTGCATTCCAGCCTGGCAACAGAGTGACACTGTCTCAAAAAATAATAATAAATAAAAGCATCTTACCCATCAAATTATGAAAATGTAATGAAAACAAACAAGAAAGGAAAAGTAAGCCAAAGGAAAAAGTTGAGTAAAATGTGAATGCAGAGATTACAGTGCAGAGACACCCGGCATGCCCGCCTGGCTAGCCACATTTCTGCAATGTGGAGTGCCTGGAAATGTCCTTTATCTACAACTGACAGGAGGTGCGGATGAGAGTGTGATAACACCTTCCCCATGGCATGTGAATAAACTATTGCCAAAGTTAACAAAGCTATTTCTCAAAATTCGGATTCCCTTACTTACCTGTGAGCTGCAGGACTTCAAAAACCTTCTCCTCAGGACACTCCCACTGGGACATCGGAGAGCAACAGTAACCACCTGAGGAAGAAAGATTCACATAAGAACTCCGATCCATTGCTCTCTACAATTCCTCTCATTCGATAAAATGGCTAAGCAGATAAAAAGAACTTAGATGCTATGGCTAACTATTAAAAGACACTGGCAGGGCGTGGTGGTGGCTCACACCTGTAATCTCAGGACTCTAGGAGGCTGAGGCAGGTGGACTACTTGAGGCCAGGAGTTCAAAACACCAGCCCCTACAAAAAACAGAAAAATTAGCTAGACGTGGTGGTGTGCATCTGTAGTTCCAGCTGCTCAAGAGGCTGAAGTGGGAGAATTGCCTGACCCCAGGGAATCGGAGATAGCAGTGAGTTGTGATCATACCACTGCACTCCAGCCTGGATGACAGAGCAAGACTGTTGTTTAAAAAAAAAAAAAAAAAAAAAAAAAAAAGACATTATAAAATGAGAAGATGACAAATGAGTATATTTATTTTTCACCTGTCAAGAAACCCCTTCTTATGACTAACATGATCATTAAGTGTGCTGAGAGTTACGTGGGTAACATGATTCCTAAGTGGTGGTTTTACAGTGGCACCCCTCCCCCTCATGAAAGCCACGTTAGCAGATATTTCCAATCAGGCCAGATGAGGTGGCTCAGACCTGTAATCCCAGCATTTTGGGAGCCTAAGTTGGGTGGATCACTTGAGGCCAGGAGTATGAAACCAGCCTGGCCAACATGGTGAAACCCCAACTCTACTAAAAGTACAAAAAATTAGCCAGCTTTGGTGGCATGGACCTGTAATCCCAGCTACTCTGGAGGCTGAGGCAGGAGAATCACTTGAACCTGGGAGGCGCAGGTTGCAGTAAGCAGAGATCACACCACTACACTCCAGCCTGGGAGACAGAGCAAGACTCTGTCTCAAAAAAACTTCTAATCAAGAGGTTAAGGGATTTCATTCACACCTAAATCAGTGTAATGTTGAGCCTATTACATGAAAGTTCTGCACTGTTATTACTTTCACTAAAGAAAGGTTTCATTGTAAATGATGAAAGAACTGAATCACAGATGAAAAAACAATTTTATTTTTATTAATTTTTTTTCTAACAGGGTGACATTTATAAAATTTGTTTAACAGATGGGGTCTCACTAGGTTGCCCAGGCTAGTCTCAAACTCCTGGGCTTAAGTGATCCTCCTGCCTCAGCTTCCTAAAGTGCCAGGATTACAGACATGAGTCAACACACCTGGTCTGCTTATTTTTATTTTTTATTTTTTGAGATGGAGTCTCACTCTGTCAGCCAGGCTGGAGTGCAGTGGCTTGATCTTGGCTCATTGCAACCTCCGCCTCCTGGATCCAGGCGCTTCTTCTGCCTCAGATTCATGTTTAACCATGTTGTCCAGGCTGGTCTCCAACTCCTGACCTCAAGTGATGCGCCTGCCTTGGCCTGCTCGATCCCTCCCAAAGTGCTGGGATTACAGGCATAAGCTACCGCACCCAGCATGGCCTGCTTATTTTTAGAAACAATATTTAATTTTTATATTGAGGTTTTGTTTACTGCAGTAATTTCACAGGAGGATTAAAGCCAATTGCCTCATGAGAAATTAGCATTAAAATACACTGAATTAGGCCAGGAGTGGTAGCTCACACCTGTAATCCCAGCACTTTGGGAGGCTGAGGTAGGGTGGGGGGATCACCTGAGATCAGGAGTTTGAGAACAGACTGTCCAACATGGGGAAAACTCCTCTCTACTAAAATTAAAAAAAAAAAAACCTAGCCAGGTGTGGTGGCAGGTGCCTGTAATCCCAGCTACTTGGGAAGCTGAGGCAGAAGAATCACTTCAACCTGGGAAGCAGAGTTTGCAGTGAGCCAAGATCACACCACTGCACTCCAGCCTGGGCGACAGGGTGAGACGCTGTTTCAAAAAAAAAAAAACTGAATTTTTTTTCACGAGACAGAAATGAAATATCACTGTTTGAAATGTGGCAGCTGTCCTACTGTTAGAACTACTGTAATGGTTGACTGCCATTTTTCCTAATCTGACAGTGTAGTGACATACAAATAGGTAAAATCCATGAGCTGCAACCTACATTGGAAAGGAAATCAGTATGCCAAACAGAGATTAAGTGGAATCTAATTTTAAAAGTAGCAGTAATTAAAGCCTGTTTCACAGCTACTCCTTAAAATGAAGCAAGGTAGCATACAACGACAAAAGTTATTACAGTGGTAATATGGTTTTGTTTCTTTGTTTGAGACAGAGTCTCGCTCTGTTGCCCAGGCTGAAGTGCAGTGGTGTGAACCGGGCTCTCTGCAACTTCTGCCTCCAAGGTTCAAGCAATTCTCATGCCTTAGCCTCCTGAACAGCTGGGATTTCAGGTGAGTACCACCACACCTGACTGATTTTTGCATTTTAGTAGAAACAGGGTTTCACCATGTCGGCCAGGCTGGTCTTGAACTCCTGGCCTTAAGTGATCCATCCAAAGTGCTGTGTGATGATTTACAAAATTATTTTCAAATTCTCTGAAACTCTATGGTTACTGTTTCAATTAAAAAGTAGAACAGTAACATATGGTGACTATTCCATTAAGAATTCTGGACTTTGCTTATAGCCATTACTGGAGGTAATGAAAAAAAAAAAAAGAATTCTGGACTATCATGAGTTACTTCCCTCTCTCTTTTTCAAAATCTAAACGTGAACATTTTAGAATTCTATAGAAAGCTACAATACTAAATACTTAACCGATGCTGAATAAATCAGAGTGTACTCCTTAAATACAAACTGCATTATTTTTCATGTCCCTCCCTTTTATTTTTATTTTTGAGATGGAGTCTCGCTCTGTTGCCCAGGCTGGTGTGTAGTTAGGCAACCTCCACCTCTCAGGTTTAAGAGATTCTCCTGACTCAGTTTCCCAAGAAGCTAGGATTACAGGGATCTGCCTCTCCAGCTAATTTTTGTTTTGCGGTAGAGACGGGGTTTTATCATGCTGGCCAGGCTGGTGTCAAACTCCTGACCTCAGGTGATGCACGCCTCACAAAGTGCTGGGCTTACTGGTGTTAGCCACAGCCTCATGCTGCCCCCGCCCCAGGAGAAATCCATGTTAGTTTCCTCATTAAGAGTCTCCTCCTAAATCCAGGCAGGCTTTGCATGCCTGTAATCCCAGCTACTCAGGAGGCTTAGGTGGGAGGATCACTTGAGCCCAGGATTTCAAGATTAGCCTGGGCAACCCAGCAAGACCTTGTCTCCAAAATAAATAAGAAGTTTTCTCATATGGCTATAGAGTCACTACATAGTTAAAATATGTATCAATATCAATATAGTGATATATATTCATTTAGTTCTAATAAACTTTCTTTTTTTCTTTTTCTCTTTTTTTTTGAGTTGGAGTCTTGCTCTGTCATCCAGGCTGGAGTGCAGTGGTACAGTCTCTGCTTACTGCAACCTCCCCCTCCCAGGTTCAAGCAATTTCCCTGCCTCGGCCTCCCAAGTAGCTGGGACTACAGGCATGCACCACCACGCCTGACTAATTTTTTTGTATTTTTAGTAGAGATGGGGTTTCACCATGTTGGTGAATCACTTGAACCTGGGAGGCGGACATTGCAGTGAGCCAAGATGGTGCCACTGTACTCCAGCCTGGGCCACAAAGCAAGACTCCATCTCAAAAAAAAAAAAAAAAAAAAGAGTAAGACAACAAGATCTAGGCCCATGAGAACAGGAGAATTATGAAAGACGGAAGGGGACATCTGAAGACATTTGAAGTCATCCAGGCTTATGAATGTTCGGTGGGCAATTTAAAATATTTGCCTTGCATTCTTAGAAATCTATAAGCAGTAGAAATGGCCCATGTAGAAAATACCTTGCCCAATGATTATTCTGACAGAATCAAAATATTCTAATATTTGTTGGCTTGTCCTGATTACTGTAGAATAAAATATACTGTAAAAGTATCAAGTAGTATCAACTATACATTACTAGTATTCTTTTAATTTGAGGTAGGATCTTGCTCTGTTACCCAGGCTGTTAATGCACCAGGCTCAAGCAATCCTCCCATCTCAGCCTCCAAGTAGCTGGGACTACAGACGTGTGTCACCACACCCAGCTAATTTTTTTTGTATTTTGTAGAGAATGGGGTTTGGCCCATGTTGGTCAAACTGGTCTCGAACTCCTAGGCTCAAGCACTCTGCCCAGCTCAGCCTCCCAAAGTGTTGGGATTACTTACAGGCATGAGCCAGTGCACCTGGTCCATCAGTGGTAGTCTTAATAAAACTTTATGTAATATAAAAGTTGGACTGATTAAAACCATATATGGAGGGCCAGGTGTGGTGGCTCATGCCTGTAATCCCAGCACTTGGGTGGGCAGATCACTTGAGGTCAGGAGTTCAAGACCAGTGAGACCCTGTCTTTTTTTTTTTTTTTTTTTTTGAGACAGAGTCTTGTTCTCTCTCCCAGGCTGGAGTGCAATGGCACAATCTCAGCTGACTGCAACCTCTGCCTCCCAGGTTAAAGCCATTCTCCTGCCTCAGCCTCCCGAGTAGCTGGGATTACCGGCGCCTGCCACCGCCCCCAGCTAATTTTTGTATGTTTTCGTAGAGGCGGATTTTCACCGTGTTGGTCAGGCTGGTTAAGAACTCCTGACCTCAGGTGATCCACTTGCCTTGGCCTCCCAAAGTGCTGGGACTACAGGCTTGAACCACTACGCCCAGCCCATCTCTATTTGCTAAAAAAATCCTCGTTACCGCAGTCACACCAACACTTATGCTACCATTTCTTTCTAAACCCAGGTTTAGATAAGACATAGGTAATTGATGTTAAGCAAAGAAAATAAGTTCAATTTTCAAAGAGAAAAACAGACTTACCTCTTCCGCTGTTCCAGAAGGTTCTTCAGGTAAATCAGGAATCTAAAGAAAAGTAAGTATTGGTAAAAGGAATGTAAACATTTTCAAGAAGCAAACAAAAGTGTCAATGAGAAGAGTTCCTTTCAATATAGAGTTTAGACCTACATCTAAGCTTACTGAAATCTCTTCTTTAAATATACATCTGTAAAAGTTTTATCATGAAAATGGGAGCTCAATTAATAAACATTTTTGGGCAAGTGTGCTAAAAATTAATCTTAAAAATAGGATTTAATAGCGCCCAACCTATATACACTTAAAAGAATTTTGCTTTTAGGCTGGGCACGGTGGCTCATGAATCCCAGCACTTTGTGAGGCCGAGGTGGGCAGATCACAAGGTCAGGAGATCAAGACCAGCCTGGCCAACATGGTGAAACCCCATCTCTACTAAAATACAAAAAATTAGCCGGGCATAGTGGTGTGTGCCTGTAGTGCCAGCTACTGGGGAGGCTAAGATTGCAGTGAGTCGAGATCGCACCATTACATACCAGACTCTGTCTCAAAAAATAATAATAATAATCAGAGATTTAGATCACATCAAAACATTTGCTACCAGGCAAGGCACGGTGGCTCACGCCTGTAATCCCAGTACTCTGAAAGGCAGAGGCTGGCAGATCATGAGGTCAGGAGTTCGACACCAGCCTGGCCAACATGGTGAATGAAACCTCGTCTCTACTAAAAATAGAAAAATTATCTGTGCATGGTGGTACACACCTGTAGTCCCAGCTACTCAGGAGGCTGAGCAAGAGAATCACTTGAACCTGTGAGGCGGATGTTGCAGTGAGCTGAGATCGGGCCACTGCACTCCAGCCTAGTGACAGAGCAAAAACTGTCTCAAAAAAAAAAAATTGCTACCAATGACTTCATCTCCAGGAACCCCTTTTATTGATCAATACCATAGAGTATATTTTATAACATTTAATCTAACAAACATTACTTGCATTTACTAAATAACTCATTTGTTTTCCTTTGGTATCAAAAGCATACGTGACAGTCAAGTAAAATTTGCCATCAGCATAAGATAGTGTTGTTAACAAAACACAAAGACACTTCAATTTTTAATCAGTCCATTTAGTTAATTCGATCTTTTTCAAATGTCAGTGATAGTTCAATAATTCCCTGCTGAGTCTCCCTGCTGAATCTCCACTACAGGACCAGGAAATCTGAAACTGAGAAGCAATATATTAGAAACTACTTTCAGGGAATAGACAGCCTCCCAGCTTTCCCTAAGGGCTGATAAAAACAGATTTCTTATTTCCAATTTTTTCCAGCTCCAGTTGGAATTAACTTAGGGATTAAAGATTTGAATGAAAAATGTGTATAATAAACCTGGGCAATATTCCAATGTCACTGATTGCTAATCTGTTCCCTAGAAGGGCCAGTAAGGAAAATTATACACTCATGTTAACAGCTGTTAGCCACTCACAAGGTAGGGCTTGATAATGTCTTAAGTTAATAGGAATGCTCCCCTTTGTAAGCATTGTATTTCTCTCTCTCTCTCTTTTTTTTTTTCTGAGATGGAGTCTTGCTCTGTCACCCAGACTGGAGTACAATGGTACAAGCTCTGCCTCCCTGGTTCAAGCGATTCTCCTGCCTCGGCCTCCTGAGTGGCCGGTACTACAAGTGCATGCCACCACACCCAGCTAATTTTTTAAATTTTCAGTAGAGATGGGGTTTCACCATGTTGGCCAAAATGGTCTCGATCTTTTGACCTCATGATCTGCCCGCCTCGGCCTCCCAAAGTGCTGGGATTGCAGGTGTGATATATTTATCATTTTTACATAATCAAATCAAATTCCTTTTTTTTTTGAGGTTGAGTCTTGCTCTGTCACCCAGACTGAAGTGCAGTGGCACGATCTCAGCTTACTACAACCTCAGCCTCACAGGTTCAAGTGATTCTCCTGCCTCAGCCTCCCAAGTAGCTGGGACTACAGGCGTGCACCACCATGCCCAGCTAATTTTTTGTATTTTTAGTAGAGATTGGGCTTCACTGTATTAGCCAGGATGACCTCGTGATCTGCCCACCTCAGCCTCCCAAAGTCCTGGGATTGCAGGCATGAGCCACTGTGCCTGGCCCAGAATTGAGTATTTTCTAAACCTATATCATTTGTTTTTATAACTTCCAAGATGGATTCAGAACATTAATATTAATACGGAACAGTGAAAATTATTATTTTCTAATAGAGTTGGGTTTTCACCATGTTGGCCAGGCTGGTCTCAAACTCCTGGCCTCAACCACTTCCACCTACCTCAGCCTCCCAAAGTGGGATTACAGATGTGAGCCACTGCGCCCAGCCTATTCTTTTTTTTGAGACAGAGCTTTGCTCTTATTGCCCAGGCTGCAGTGCAATGGCTGATCTCAGCTCACCACACCCTCTGCCTCCCAGGTTCAAGCAGTTCTCCTGCCTCAGCCTCCCAAGTGGCTGGGATTACAGGCATGCACCACCTGCCCAGCTAATTTTTTGTATTTTTAGTAGAGATGGGGTTTCTCCATGTTGGTCAGGTTGGTTTCGAACTCCCAACCTCAGGTGATCCACCCACCTCGGCCTCCCAAAGTGCTGGAATTACAGGCCACTGTGCCCAACCTATTCTTAATGAAGGTGATCACTTTGTAAGGTAGTGGGAAGACAGCATCTGGATGAAAGGCCAGTCCTGATCTTCACCCAGTACACCACCTCACCTATAGTTCAGTACTCCTACTGCACACAGACACGATTCAGTGAGAGGCATGAGGTACTTTACCTTCTTCCGTGTGGGCTGTTCAGCAGGCAATGAGAATTCAGTGAAAGGTTTAGGCAAGTTCTGGCTCTTTGCTGCTTCTCTGTTTGATGTTTCAAAACATGTCTGACTTGTACTTTCATCACCCTAGTCAAAAATAACAGACAATTTCTAAAGAGATGTTTTATATCAACTTTATTCACAATGGTTTTTTCCTTTTTCTTTTCTACCCCAATAGCATATTAAAAAAATAAGAGCAAGCCATTATGAGACCCCCAAAAATTAAAGCATTATCTCCTTGGACAAGAAAACACAAGGCTTGAGCCCAGTGCCATGGCTCACACCTGTAATTCCAGGACTTTGGCAGGCTGAGGCAGGCAGATCACCTGAAGTCAGGAGTTCAAGACCAGCCTGGCTAACACTGTGAAACCCAGTCTGTACTAAAAAAAATACAAAAATTGGCCAGGCACGGTGGCTCACGCCTGTAATACCAGCATTTTGGGAGGCCAAGCCAAGTGGATCACAGCCTGGCCAACACAGTGAAACCCCACCTCTACTAAAAAAATCACAAAAATTAGCTGGGCGTGGTGGCAGGCGCCTGTAATCCCAACTACTAGGGAGGCTGAGGCAGGGAATCACTTGAGCCTGGGAGACGGAGTTTGTAGTGAGCTGAGATCATGCCACTGTACTCCAGCCTGGGTGACAGAGTGTAACTGTCTCAAAAACAAAAAAACAAATTAGTCGCAGCAGAATAATCACTTGAACCTGAGTGGCTTTTTTTATTTTTTATTTTTTATTTTGAGATGGGAGTCTCACTCTGTCACCCAGGCTGGAGGACAGTGGCACCATCTTGGCTCACCGCAAACTTCACCTCCCAGGTTCTAGCATTTCTCCTGCCTCGGCCTCCTGACTAGCTGGGATTACAAGCGTGCACCACCATGCCTGGCTATTTTTAGTAGAGACGGGGTTTCATTCTGTTGGTCAGGCTGGTCTTGAACTTCTGACCTAATGATCCTCCTGCCTCGGCTTCCCAAAGTGCTGGGATTACAGGCATGAGTCACCGTGCCCGGCCCACCTGAGTGTTTGTTTTTGTTTTTTTTTTAAGATAAAGTCTCATTCTTTTGCCAAGCTGGAGTGCAGTGGCACAATTTCGGCTCACTGCAACCTCCGCTTCTCAGGTTCAAGCCATTCTCCTGCCTCAGCCTCCTGAGCACCTGAGACTACAGATGCGTGCCACCATGCCCAGCTAATTTTTGTATTTTTAGTAGAGATGGGGTTTCACCATGTTGGCCAGGATGGTCTCAATCTCTTGACCTTGTGATCTGCCCACCTCGCCCTCCCAAAGTGCTGGGATTACAGGCGCCAGTCACTGCATCTGGCCTGAACACTTTTTTCCTTAGCCAAATAATTTACTTAAATGTCAAATTCTCAAATACGTGCTTACTGGTTCAACAATACCTTCCTTTCATAGTTATTAACCTTCTAAGAGGAAAAGCTGTTTTTCTCAGATTAAAATGTTCAGCATTTAGTGGGGTTTATCACCTTCCGTCCCACATGCTAAGAAAATCTGGTAGAAGGAGCACAGGGAATGGGAATCAAGAGATCTTTGTGCCAGCTGGGTGTGGTGGCTCATGCATGTAATCCTAGCACTTTGGGAGGCCAAAGTGGCCAAATGACCTGAAGTCAGGAGTTTGATATCAGCCTGGCCAACATAGCGAAAACCCATCTCAACTAAAAATACAAAAACTAGCCAGGTGTGGTGGCACACACCTGTAGTCCCAGCTACTCATGAGACTGAGGCAGAAAAACTACTTGAACCTGGGAAGCGGAAGTTGTAGTGAGCTGAGATGGCACCACTGCACTCCAGCCTGGGCAACAAAGTAAGACTCTGGGGGGAAAAAAAAAAAAACCTATCAAAGTCTACCAACCACAACAATGAACAGAAGACAAACCTCAACTCAAAAGTGAAATCCCTACCTAAAATAGCTGTATTTATGTTGCCCATTTTCAATATCAACTTTATTACCTATCCTTGATTATTTTATGCTATATGTACCATTATAAAATGAGTTCTGGTTCCCTATAAGAATCCTGTTTACCTTTACTGGATAATGGTGAAAGGTACAATATAAACACAAAGCAAAAAACAAACTATGGAACAGAAACAGCCTTACACAACATAAAATCTGTGGCCAGTTCCTCCAAAACTTACTGGTTGTTTGTTTTGTAGAGATGAGGTCTCACTATGTTGCCCAGGCTGGTCTCAACTCCTGGCTCATGCAATCCAGCTGCCTCTGCCTCCCAAAGTGCTGGGGATTATAAGCATGAGCCAGCCTAACTTACTGTCTTTATGAATATCCTTTTCCCTGATAAGAAAACTTAAAATAGTAAACTTTTGGCCGGGCGCGGTGGCTCAAGCCTGTAATCCCAGCACTTTGGGAGGCCGAGGCGGGTGGATCATGAGGTCGAGAGATCGAGACCATCCTGGTCAACATGGTGAAACCCCGTCTCTACTAAAAATACAAAAAATTAGCTGGGCATGGTGGCGTGTGCCTGTAATCCCAGCTACTCAGGAGGCTGAGGCAGGAGAATTGCTTGAACACAGGAGGCGGAGGTTGCGGTGAGCCGAGATCGCGCCATTGCACTCCAGCCTGGGTAACAAGAGCGAAACTCCGTCTCAAAAAAAAACAAAAACAAAAACAAAAACAAAAAATAGTAAACTTCTCTAGGAACTGACAAAATTCGTATTTGCTGAAGGAAAACATAAGCAAAGTTTAATTTGACATAAATAAAAATCAGAATATATAATATATAATACAACATATATCATGAGCTTAATACCTTGGAAATCTTACTTGAGGAAAGATCAGAATGTTCTCAGATTAGACAACAGCAATTTCTTCAACAGTTTTAAAGACTAACTTATGTCACAGTTTTTTTTTCTTTTTCTGAGAAAGGGTCTTGCTCTGTCTCCTAGGCTGGAGTGCAGTGGTATAGTCACGGTTCACTGCAGCCTCAACCTCCTGGGCTCAGGTGATCCTTCTGCCTTAGCCTCCCCAAGTAGCTGAGACTGCAGCCACACACGACCACATCTGGCTAATTTTTACAATTTTTTTGTATAGATAAGGTCTTCCTATGTTGCCCAGGCTGGTCTCAAACTCCTGGTCGCAAGCGATCTGCCTGCCTTGTCCTCCCAAAGTACTAGGATTACAGATGTGAGCAACCATACCCAGCCTCTGTTAGAGTTTTTTAAGGAACCAAGTTATATGCTCTTTAGGCACCAGAAACCACTTAACCAGCCAGGTGTAGTCTATGGTAGGGTGCACCTGTAGTCCCAGCTACTTAGGAAGCTGCGGCAGGAGCATCCCTTGAGCCCTGGAGTTCAAGGCTGCAGTGAGCTACGATCGTGCCACTGCCCCCCAGCCTGGGCAACAGGGTGAGACTCTGTCTTTGTTTGTTGTTTTTGTTTTCTTTTGTTTAGATGGAGTCTCACTCTGTCGCCAGGCTGGAGTGCAATGGCGCACTCTCAGCTCACTGCAACCTCTGCCTCCCAGATTCAAGCAATTCTCCCTGCTTCAGCCTCCTGAGTAGCTGGGATTACAGGCATGTGCCAACACACCCAGCTAATTTTTGTATTTTTAGTAGAGATGGGGTTTCACCATGTTCGCCAGGATGGTCTCAATTTCTTGACCTCATTATCTGCCCACCTCGGCCTCCCAAAGTGCTGAGATTACAGGCATAAGCCACCATGCCCAGCTGACTGTCTTTTAAAAATGAAAAACAACCCCTTAGCCATGTGATAAACGTGCTGAACAAAAACTGATATACCATAATTATCAATAAAAGCTCCTAGAAACAGATTAACATTGTTTTCAATTTAAAAACATCATGTAATAAGAAATATAAGAGGATTCAAAATATAAAAATATTTTTCCAACCCCAAGTTTGTGACCACTGCTTAATTTCCAGGCTTCGCCCGTCATCTGATAAAAGTGCTCCTCCAGTTTTTTCAACTTCATTTCCTGGTGAGGTTTTAAAACGTTCTCTATGTATCTGCTGACCTGTTCAAAAAACAAATTAGGCATTGTTACTATACATTAATATTCCTAAAAATGTGTGCTGTCTATAAAGTTGTAAACAACCAAGTAAGAGCCCTGCTGGCTGAACAGAGCCGCTGCCACCGTGTTTGGCTGCTTGGTTGCGGGGAGGCTGGGGTGGACAGCTGGACAGCAAGCTGGTCAGACATTTGTTTCTGACTTGCCTGATTATGAAAGTCTCAACCAGGATGTGGTTTTTATTCTGGGAACAATCCCATTTCCTAAGAGAATGGGAGGATCTACTTTTCCTATCCCGATCCAAATGGAATGCCAGTATGGCAACTCCAAGGATTTGTCACAAATGGGAAACCAAGTGCCATCTTCAGAATTTCAGGTCTTAAATCTGGAGAGGGAAGAGCTATATCCTTTTTTTTTTTTTTTTTTTTTTTTTTTTGAGATAGAGTCTCACTCTGTTGCCCAGGCTGGAGTGTAGTGGCACGATCTCGGCTCACTGCAACCTCCGCCTCCTGGGTTAAAGTGATTCTCCTGTCTCAGCCTCCCAAGTAGCTGGGACTACAGGTGTGTGCCACCATGCCCGGCTAATTTTTGTTTTTAGTAGAGACAGGGTTTTACTATGTTGGCCAGGCTGGTCTCAAACTCCTGACCTCAAGTGATCCACCCTTCCTTGCCTCCCAAAGTGCTGGCATTATGGGCATGAGCCACCACACCCAGCCAAATTTTTTTTTTTTTTATTTTTTTTTTTTTAGACGGAGTTTCGCTCTTGTTACCCAGGCTGGAGTGCAATGGCGCGATCTCGGCTCACCGCAACCTCCGCCTCCTGGGTTCAGGCAATTCTCCTGCCTCAGCCTCCTGAGTAGCTGGGATTACAGGCCCGCGCAACCATGCCCAGCTAATTTTTTGTATTTTTAGGAGAGACGGAGTTTCACCGTGTTGACCAGGATGGTCTCGATCGTTTGACCTCGTGATCCACCTGCCTCGGCCTCCCAAAGTGCTGGGATTACAGGCTTGAGCCACCGCGCCTGACCCCCAGATTTTTTTTTAAAAATTAGCTGAGCGTGGTGGTGTGTGCCTGCAGTTCCAGCTACCCAGGAAGCTAAGGCAGGGGGATCTCATGAACCCAGGAAGTTGAGGCAACAGTGAGCTATGGTTGTACCACTGCACCCCAGCCTGGCCAACAGAGTGAGGCCCAGTCTCAAAAAAAAATGTGTTATATAAATTCAATGGACAATTATTGATCCACAAAAATAAATGAGATACTGATACATGCTATAGTATAGAAGAACCTATGCTAAATCAAAGAAGTTAGAAACACAAGGTCACATTTTGTACAACCCCATTTATAAGAAATATCGAGAACAGGTAAATCCGTACCAACAGAAAGCAGATTGGTGGTATCCAGAGGATGGGAGGAGGGGATAGCAGGGAGTGACTGTTTAAAGAGTATACGGTTTTCTCTAAGGGGATGGAACAGAGTTGTACGACCTTGTGAATGTACTAAATATCACTGAACTGCCTGGTCAATTTTGGCTGGGCATAGTTTCTCACACCTGTAATCCCAGCACTTTGGGAAGCCGAGGCAGATGGATCACCTGAGGTCAGGAGTTTAAGACCAGCCAGGCCAACATGATGAAACCCTACCTCTACTAAAAATCCAAAAATTAGCTGGGTGTGGTGGTGCATGCCTGTAATCCCAGCTACTCGGGAGCCTGAGGAAGGAGAATCGCTTAAACCCAGGAGGTGGAGGTTGCAGCGAGCCGAGATTGTGCCACCGCACTCCAGCCTGGGCAACAGCAGTGAAACTCCAACTCAAAAATAAATAAGTACAATAAAATGGTCAATTTTATGTCATGCGAATTTGACCTCCATATATTTTTTTTAAAAATCTTATCACAAAGATAGAAGCAACAGACCTTAACTAATTATTATTTTTTCAGACGGAGTTTTGCTCTGTCGCACAGGCTGGAGTGCAGTGATGACGACTCGGCTCACTGCAACCTCCCAGGTTCAAGTGATTCTCCAGCCTCAGCCTCCCCAGGAACCGGGAAAACAAGCACGCACCATCACACCCAGCTACTTTTTTGTATTTTTAGTAGAGACGAGGTTTCACCGTGTTAACCAGGATGGTCTCGATCTCCTGGCCTCGTGATCCTCCCACCTCAGCCTCCCAAAGTGCTGGGATTACAGGTGTGAGCCACCACACCTGGCCCAGAGCTTAATTTTAATTGCCTCAGATTTTTGTATTTCCCGATGCATAAAGTCTCTAAAAACTCTGCCTTACCTTCTCTCCTTGTGCCTCTTGTTGTTTTTTTCTCACCAGTTTTTGTCTTTTCTCATTCTTCTCTTCCTCTTCTAAGACATGAAAACATAAAAGTGCTTTTTATTTCCCAAGTATCTCATAACCAAATAATTTACCAAAAGAAAGAAAAGATCTAAAAATCTACAGTTGGGAGAACCTAACACATCACACTGTCATTTATGTTTGGGTTGACAGTATAACCTTTTAGGATTATGATTTTATTCAATTAATTTGAAAGGGCTAGACATTAAATATTGCTCACTTTCCTTTTATTTGCTTACAGTTAAACAGTAAAACACAATGTACCAAATTCACTAATGACAAGCTTCCTCTTAATAGCATAGAAAATATGTAGTTTTTTTTGGTTTTAAGATTCACCTGTTCTGAGGCTAAGCACAGTACTATTTTAAAAGGCTTCTAGGACTCTCAAACTTTTCTTATCAAAAGTAAAACAGGATGGGCAAGGTGGCTCAAGCCTGTAATCCCAGCATCTTGAAAGGCTGAGGCAGGTGGATCACTTGAGCTCAGGAGCTATAGACCACCCTGGGGCACATGGCGAAATCCAACCTCTACAAAAAATACAAAACTTAGCCAGGGTCAGTGACGCACCGCTGTAGACCCAACTACTCAGGAGGCTAAGGCGGGAGGATCACTTGAGCCTGGGAGGAGGGGAGGTTGCAGTGTGCCAAGATCATGCCACTGCATTGCATCCTGGGTGACAGAACGAGACTCTGTCTCAAATTAAAACAAAAAAGAGGCCAGGCTTGGTGGTTCATGCCTGTAATCCCAGCACTTTGGGAGACCAAGGTGGGCAGATCACGAGGTGAGGAGCTCAAGACCAGCCTGACCAATATGTTGAAACCCCATCTATATTAAAAAACACAAAAATCAGCCAGGCGTGGTGGTGCGCACCTGTAGTCCCTGCTACTCGGGGGGCTGAGGCAGGAGAATCATTTGAACCCAGGAGGTGGAGGTTGCAGTGAGCCGAGATCACACCACTGCACTCCAGCCTGGGTAACAGAGCAAGACTCCATCTCAAAAAAAAAAAAAAAAAAAAAAAAAAGGAAAAAAAATCATGACTAAAGTTGTAATGATTACTCTAAGTTCTAGAATAAAGAAATTTAAGTAGAATGGTATAAAAAGATAGCATAAATAATAAACTTACCCTTCACATGAAGTTGGGAAGATTTAAATGAGTTAAGCCACGAGGTAGTCACAGAAATAATTAAAGTAAGAAGAGCAAGCAGTAAAAAAATCCGGCCACAAAGCAAAAGAAAATCCTTGATTCCTGATAAAGGAAAAAAAACTAAAATTAAAATTCAAAACTTTTTTTTTTTTTTTAAAGAGATGAGGTCTCACTATGTTGACCAGGCTGGTCTCAAGCTCCTGAGCTCAAGTGATCCTCCAGCCTTGGCCTCCCAAAGTGCTAGGATCATAGGCATGAGCCACCACATCCAGCCCCAGACATTTTTCTTGATACCCCTAATAAAAGTATAACACGTTATACAACTGTCTTACAATTTTGTTAATATATAGTCATCCCTCAGAATTCATGGGGTATTGGTTCCAGGACTCCTGAGGATATCAAAATCTACAAATTTTCAAGTCCCTGATATAAAATGGCATGGTTTTTGCATATTATCTATGCTCCCACATACTTTAAATCATCTATTGATTACTCCTAATACCCAATATAATGTAAAGGCTATATAAATGGTTCCTATACTTTTAGTGTTTACTGAAAACGACAGGGAAAAGTTTGTATATGTTCAGGACAGGACACACAGACAACCATCTATTTATCCTTTTTTTTTTTTTTTTTTTTTTTGAGACAGTTTTGCTCTTCTTATCCAGGCTTGAGTACAATGGAACAATCAAGGCTCACCACAACCGCCACCTCCCGGGTTTAATCGATTCTCCTGCCTCGGCCTCCAGAGGAGCTGGGATTACAGGTGTGTGCCACCACATCCAGCTATATCCATTTTTTTTTCCCCCAGAATATTGTCTTTTCTTTCCTTCTGTTTTGTTTGTTTTTTGTTTTTAGAGATAGGGTGTTGCTCTTCTTGCTCTTGCTCTGCCACCCAGGCTGCTGGAGTTCAGTGGTGAGAACATCAGGAGGTCCCAGCCTCGACCTCCTGGGTCTGAAGTGATCCTCCTGCCTTAGGCCCCCCCACCCTGCCCAAGTAGCTCGGACTACAGGCATGCACCACCACACCCAGCTAATTTCTGTATTTTTTGTAGAGATGGGGTCTTGTCATGTTGTCCAGGCTGGTCTTGAACTCCTGAATTCAGGCAATCCACTCACCTCGGCCCCCCAAAGTCCTGGGATTAGAGGCATGAGGCACTGCACCCAGCCCTTTCTGAACAGGCTCAATCCACAGATGCTTAAATCCTCAGATGTGGAACTCATGGGTACAGAGGGCTTACTGTATTCTCCTTTGGGCATTAAAAAACTCATGATGGTTGTCATTTCCAGAATGAACTTTCTTTCTTTCTTTTCAAACCTGTAAGTTCATTTTTTATTTTTTGTTTTTTCTTTTTAGTTTTTGTTTTATAGGATAAACACTATCTTAGAAATACAGTTTTTTAGTTTTTGTTTTATAGGATAAACACTATCTTAGAAATATAGTTAAAATTAGAGGAATCAGCTACATTATAAATATTATGACCATCAGTAATGTATAAATTCTAATTTCCCATATAGAGAAAATTACATAAGTAGAAATAAAATTGTGAAAATACTGTGTCAAATTCTAGTTCTATCATAGTCAATCCACTGAAACACCAAATTCTTATTTCTCACAATTAAATTGTGCAATTGTGTGCTGCTTTATTTCTTGACATTTAGTCACTTGTAAGTAAAACTATGATTTAAACGCTTGCCTAGGAAAAAGTAAAAATACAGTATTTGGTCTTAATAACCAAAGTAAAAATTATTTGAGCAAAAATCTAACTATTACCTACTTTGCATAATACAATTTAGCAAATGTTAAGAGCCAGGAGACAAAGCTGGGTTAAAAATGATTTCCATCCTCAGAATTTTTACTCTTGTTTTTTTAATTTTCAGAAGATAAATGGCAGGATATAGAGGAATCATCTTGCCAATGTGATCAAGGCTGGTCACATTTTAGTCAATTAACAAACTTAAACATGGAATTAGGAAAACATACATACAGGCCAGGCATGGTGGCTCACAACTGTAATCCCAGTACTTTGGGAAGCCGAGATGGGTGGATCACCTGAGTTAAGGGAGTTCAAGACCAACCTGGCCAACACGGTTAAACCCCATCTTTACTAAAATACAAAAATTAGCTGAGTATGATGGTGGGTGCCTGTAATCCCAGCTACTTGGGAGGCTGAGGCAGGAGAATATCTTGAACCCAGGAGGCGGAGGCTGCAGTGAACCAACATCCTGCCATTGAACTCCAGCCTGGGTGACAGAGTGAAGCTGTCTCAGAAAAAAAACCACACACACACACATACACACATACAGAATTAAATGTTTTATTTCAAACTGAAAACATGTATATTATTCTTGCGTTTTTTTGTTTTTGTTTTTGTTTTTGTTTTTTGAGATAGAATCTCACTGACTTGTCCCAGGTGGGGTGCAGCATCTGATCACAGCTCACTGCAGCCACGACCTCCTGGGCTCAAGCAATCCTCCTATGTCAGCCTCCTGAATTGCTGGGACCATAGATGTGTGCCACCAGAAAATATTCTTCTTTTTTTTTTTCCAAGTGATCCCTCCTCCTTGGCCTCCCAAGTGCTGGGATTACAGGTGTAAGCCACCATGTATGGCCTAATATTATTCTTTTAAAAACCCTAGTAATTTAAAGTTGTTTAGAGAAGAAACACGACTTAAAAAAATTCACAGATCCTCCAAATTGACAGTATTAATCATTGATTCAGGTGTCATTCAATACAACACATAATTTAATCTATTTTATCTCTGGCCATTACAAATGTAGTTTAGTATCTAAGAGTATTGGTATGTAAAGAAACCATTGAGGCCAAGTGCAGTGGCTCATGCCTGTAATCCCAGCACTTTGGGAGGCCGAGGCTGGTGGATCGCTTGAACTTAGGAGTTCATAACCAGCCTGAACAACATAGTGAAACCCCAGCTATACAAACATTAGCCAGGCATAGTGGTGTACACCAGTAATCCCCGCTACTCAGGAGGCTGAAGCACAAAAATGTCTTGAACCTGGAAGGCAGAAGTTGCAGTGAGCCGAGATTGCACCACTGCACAACAAAACCTTGAGTTGTGGGATTTATGTTCCATAACACTGCTGTTTGTTCTAACAAGTAAGCAATTTGCAAACATCACATGAGAATATGAAAGAAGTAGATTCGGCCGGGTGCAAGGGCTCACACCTGTAATTTCAGCACTTTGGGAGGCTGGGGCAGTCGGATCACCTGAGGTCAGGAGTTCAAGACCAACCTGACCAACATGGAGAAACCCTGTCTCTACCAAAAATATAAAATTAGCCAGGTGTGGTGGCACATGCCTGGAATCCCAGCTACTCAGGAGGCTGACACAGGAGAATTGCTTGAATCCAGGAGGCAGAAGTTGCAATGAGCCGAGATCCCGCCATTGCACTCCAGCCTGGGCAACAAGAGCGAAACTCTGTCTCAAAAACAAAAACAAAAACAAAAACAGAAACAAAAAAATCCTAGATTTGTGTGTATATCTGTCAAGAAAAAAAGTTCTTAAGTGAGTTTTGTTTTGTTTTGTTTTTTAACTATAGACCCCGTAAGCAGTGTACTTCAATAGGTAACAAACCTAATGAACTGGCCTTAAAATATTTAGGCTGGGCATGGTGGCTCATGCCTGTAATTCAAACACTTTGGGAGGCTGAGGCAGGCAGATCACAAGATCAGGAGATCGATACCATCCTGGTCAACATAGTGAAACCCTATCTCTACTAAAAATACAAAAAAATTAGCCAGGCATGGTGACGAGTGCCTGTAGTCCCAGTTACTCGGGAGGCTGAGGCTGGAGAATTGCTTGAACCCAGGAAGCGGAAGTTGCAGTGAGCCGAGATTGCACCACTGCACTCCAGCCTGTGTGACAGAGTGACAGACTCTGTCTCCAAAAAAAAAATACATAGCTTAAGTATAAGTAAAATGTATTGACAATAAAGGTTTTTACACAGTAGAAAAAGACAAGGCTAGTTTTCCAATATTTGTCTGAATATTGGAGGCATAACCAGACCTGCTGCCGCTGTAAAGTATGATTTGTGAAACAGACTTAAATACTGTTAACAAGTAATTATTGGAAGCTCACTATCAAGAATCCAAAAGCAACAAAATATGTATATATAAAGAAAAGAACTTAAAAAAAAAAAAAAAAGGAAAACAATCCAAATGAAATAATCATTCCTTCAGAATTCTATGAGAAAGAAGTTAATTCCATGAAAATTTCAAGAACTAGATAAAGATGCTGCCAGGAGCCTAGTTGCAATTTCCAGAACCCTTGTCTCTCATTCTATTAAACTATACACTGTGCTAAGTGCTGGGAATACAAATACAAATTTCATTTGGCCTCTGCCTTCAAGAAGCGTATTTCTGACTGGGCATGGTGGCTCATGTCTGTAATCCCAGCACTTTGGGAGGCTGAGGTAAGGGAATTGCTTGAGCCTAGGAGTTTCATACCAGCCTGAGCAACATGGCAAAACCCCATCTCTGCAAAAAATACAAAAATTTAGCTAGGCACGGTGGTGTGGTGCCTGTAGTCCTAGCTACTCAGAAGGCTGAGGTGGGAGGATCACTTGAGCCAGAAGTCCAGGCTTCGGGAAGTCCAGGCTTCAGTAAGCCATGACCATGCCACTGCACTGCAGCCTGCATGACTGAGCAAGACCCTGTCTCAAAAAAATAATAATAATAAAATAAAGGAGCAGAGTAGCGGTGGATGTTGAAAAGACAAGGGAACAGGTCAATTTTGGAAATGGTAAGTATGAATTCAACATTTCTGATCCTTTGGATAAAGGTCTTGCTATATTCCAACACAGCTTGAGTGAGTGGGAAGCTTCAGGAAAGTCTTTGCACATTTTTTTTTTTTTTTTTTTTTTTTTTTTTTGAGACGGAGTTTCACTCGTTACCCAGGCTGGAGTGCAATGGCGCGATCTCGGCTCACCGCAACCTCCGCCTCCTGGGTTCAGGCAACTCTCCTGTCTCAGCCTCCTGAGTAGCTGGGATTATAAGCACGCAACACCATGCCCAGCTAATTTTTTGTATTTTTAGTAGAGACGGGGGTTTCACCTTGTTGAATAGGATGGTCTCGATCTCTTGACCTTGTGATCTGCCCGCCTCGGCCTCCCAAAGTGCTGGGTTTACAGGCTTGAGCCACCGCGCCCGGCTGTACATTTTTTAAAGCATTTTTTTTTCCATTTTTTATTGGAGGCAACATTTCTAGACATCTTACTCCCTGGGGGTAGGGAGAAAAGGTGGAGAAAGGGAGTATACAAAGCTCAGTTTCATTATGGTCTCTAACTTTAGAACTGATTTTAAAAAGGGAGACAGACATGTAAACTGATGACTCAAGTGTCCAAAAATCACTCGTGATTCTCAGCACCTCCACCGGTTTTCTTTCCCTTTTCCCTTTACCAGTAGTACTACCAATCACCTAGGTTTGTTCAATCCCCCATGAGGCAGTCGACCTTGAATCTTTCCTTTGCTTTGCCACAAATATCAACCCATCAACAAAACCTGTTGGTTGATCTTACTTCGTCAATATCCCAAATTTGTCTACATTTCAACTCCTCTGTTACTGTCCTAGTCCAGGCCATCATCACTACTTGTCTACTTCCCAAGCCTGATGTGCCTCACTGTTTCCACCAAAGCTTCCGTCCAAAGCATTCTCCATACAGAATGGAGCCACCTTTTAAAAACCTTAGGGAAGTCACTTAACCTCCCTAAATTTCGGTTCCCTCAACTGTAAAATGGGGATTATAATAGTGCCTACCCAGCCGGGAGCAATACCTCCGACTTGTAATCCCAGCACTTTGGGAGGCCAAGATGGGTGGATCACGAGGTCAGGAGTTTAAGATCCGCCAAGATGGTGAAACACCATCTCTACTAAAAATACAAAAATTAACCAGGTGTGGTGGCTGGCGTCTGTAATCCCAGTTACTCGAGAGTCTGAGGCAGAGAATTGTTGAAGCTGGGAGATCTCGCCAAGATCTCGCCACTGCACTCCTGCCTGGGCAACAGAGAGAGACTCCGTTGGGGGTGGGGGGAAGGGGGATCTACCTTCCTCTGATTGTAGTGTAGATTAAATGAGACACTGAATAACCAGTACCTACTGTTTGGCTTACAATAGGTGTTCAATAAACGTCATTATCCTGAGCCAATTCCTCTTCCTCCCCTCAGCTCTCGATTCAGCCACAATGGCCTTCTCCTTTTCCTCCAACATCTCACAATCTCTTTGCCTAGAATACTCCCCTTCCCCAGCCCTTCCGTGCCCCGGCGGGATTTTCACGGGTGTGGCCCCTTATTTACATCCCGGCACTTTGAGAGTCCGAGGCAGGAGGATCTCTTGAATCGAGAAGTTCGGGGCCAGCCTTGGCAACATAGTGAGATCCTGTCTCTAATTTAAAAACACAACAAAAAACCTCTCAGCCTAAATTTAGAAGGCCTTCATCCTATCAGTCTGTTTATTTCCTTTTGAGTGTTAACCAGGATGTTAAAGTACTGTTATGACTCCCATTATGCTCTTCGCCTCTATCCTCTTACACGCAAAACCATCACACCTGTAGGGAAAAGGTTCCGCGAAGTGGAGTCAGCACCGGAAGTGGGAGGCACGGGCGATGCAGTCTGGGAGTTGTAGTCAAAGCCGCTCCGAAGCGACGCAGCCGGAGAGGCGGTCATTCTATGCAACATTCCTGTGAAAATTACCAGCTGTGACTGTCGAAGGGACAAAGCCAACACTTACCTATATCCGGGATGCCACGCCGGAGCTCCAGACACACAAGGGGGACAGCAGAGAGGAAGAAAACGCCAACAACTCCCCGTAAAGCCATGGTGGCAGAAGCGCCTGGTCCCGGTGGAAAGCCCACCCCTTCCGGCCGCGTTTTCCGGGGAGGAAGTGGATCTTTTCCTGCGGCGGGGAGGCTGGGAGAGAGCAGCGTCGTACGGCTGCGTTGTTGTTATTCATGGGGCCCGTGTTTTTAACTCAGTCTGTTGCCGTGTTTCAGAAGAAAGGCAAGTCGTTCTTCAGATCACATGATGTCCAGAGGAGCGTTGGCTCTAGAGCGGTGGCTCCCTGGAGGGTTAGCAGGGCAGGGGCTGCCCCTTCGGTTTCTGCAGCGTCGGTGAGAAAGCGCTCTCCAGAGGGAAATGAAGCCGAAGGGAAAGCTGACGCTGTGAGGAGACAGCCTGTTCCCGTGGCCTTGTGGCCGTAGAGTGTGAACGTGAGCTATAGCACCTTTCTTACCTCCCTAACGGTTCCTGGCCCCGTCCACAGTCTTTGGTTCCTGCGTTAAGTCCTACTCCTTCCTCCGCCCCTTGTCAGTTTTGCCCGCACGCGTTGTTAACCTTGACCTCATAATTCTGTGACCTCATTGCCACCCTGTAACTCACCACTGTGCACTTCTCCCAAGCTACTGAGGTCCTCCCAACCTACAACATTTCATACTTAGAAGTTATCTTTCCTGGCCAGGCACCTGTGGGCCAGGCACCTGGCTCACGCCTGTAATCTCAGCACTTTGGGAGGCCAACGCAGGCAGTTCAAGAGGTCAGAGTTAGAGACCAGTCTGGCCAACTTGGTGAAACCCAGTTTGTACTAAAAATACAAAAATTAGCCGGCGTTGGTGGCGGGCGCCTGTAATCCCAGCTACTCAAGAGGCTGAAGCAGGAGAATTACTTGAGCCCGGGAGGCAGAGGTTGCAGTGAGCCAAGTTTGCGCAGCTGCACTCTACCCTGGACGACAGAATAAGACTCCGTCTCAAAAAAAAAAAAAAGAAAAAGAAAAATATCTTCTGGCCGGGGTGCGGTGGCTGACGCCTGTAATCCCAGCACTTTGGGAGAAAAAAAATTCTTTTTCCTGACCTGCGCATCTATCCTCCCACCTCACTTTTCAGTTTAGTTCATCTGACTTTTATTGAGCTCCACAGTTTACCTGGTACTGTACAACTCTTAGAGATTCAGATGTATACAAGTTATTGAATTTATCCTCAAGAAACCCAGCTTAGGCTGGGTGCGGTGGCTCACGCCTGTAATCTTAATACTTTGGGAGGCCGAAGTGGGTGGATCAAGAGGTGAGGAGTTTGAGACCAGCCTGGCCAAGATGGTGAAACCCCGGCTCCACTAAAAATACAAAAATTAGCCGGGCGCGGTGGCAGGCGCCTGTAAACCCAGCTATCCAGCTACTCGGGAGGTGGAGGCAGGAGAATTGCTTGAACCCGGGATGCGGAGGTTGCAGTGGGCTGAGTTCCGGTCACTTCACTCCAGCCTGGGTGACAGAACAAGACTCAGTCTCAAGAAAAAAGAAACTCAGTTTATGAGACTTTGTCGTTCTATAGAGAAGAAAAAAAACTGCATGAGAAAGATACCCCTGAAAGCAAACAAACGCAATGCAGTGCCTGAATGCTGTTAGAGAAATACATAGGGTGTTGCAGAACCATACCTGGAAGGCTTGGAGAAGGCGTTCCAGAAGGAAATCAGTCTAAATTGTGTTGAAAGTTTAGGAATGTGGACAAGGATGCCAGAGAAGAGTGGGACTTCAAGTTTAGGAACCTGAGTGCAAAGGAACTACCAGTGATTAAAATATTGCTGCAGTTTAGAGCTTGAAGCCGGGCACGGTGGCTCACTCCTGTATTCTCAGCACTTTGGGAGGCTAAGGAGGGAGACTGCTTGGGCTCAGGAGTTTGAGACCCACCTGGTCAACATAGCTAAACTCGTCTCAAAAAAAGAAAAAAAAAAAAAAAAAAAAAAAAAAAAAGCTGTGCATGGACCACAGTAGCCTGTGGTCCCAGCTACTCAAGAGGCTGAGGTGGGAGAATCGCTTGAGCGCAGGAGGTCAAGCTGGGTGAGCCAAGATCATGCCAGTGCACTCCAGCCTGGGCGATACAGCGAGACCCTGTCTCTAAAAATAAAATAAAGCTGAATGAAGATTTTTAGAGGTAGATTGTTGCTAGGGCTGCAGAGGCTTTCCTTTATGTATAGGCTAAGTACTTTATCCTCCAAGTAAAGATGCAAAACATTTGGGCACAATCTAAAAATCAATAAGGGTAAGATAATATAAATTACAGCATGACATACCTTCAAGTAACTATATTGACTAGTTCAGAAGTTCCCATAGTTGTCTGTATCTTGTGTTCACCATGCATAAGGAGGAGGACAAGAAAGGAAGTTCAGTTCTTAACCAACTGCCTCCTTTATTTTGTTGTTCCTCCCTGGCCTTCCATATTACCTAATTTAATCTGTTGATGGTGCCATTGAATCTCTGTCTGGACTATAAAAGGAGGTTTCTAACCATCCCAGATTTGCTTTGTCTTAACATATGGGAAGCCAGCATTTCCCAAATTTTGTTGTTTGTGAATTCTCTTCACTGCAACTACCAGCTCTCCCCACAAAAGACCACCAGAATAACCCATCACTAAGCAAGTTTGAGTCTCTTACTGCATTAAAAAAGAACATTGGCCGGGCGCGGTGGCTCAAGCCTGTAATCCCAGCACTTTGGGAGGCCGAGGCGGGTGGATCACAAGGTCAAGAGATCGAGACCATCCTGGTCAACACGGTGAAACCCCGTCTCTACTAAAAATACTAAAAATTAGCTGGGCATGGTGGCGCGTGCCTGTAATCCCAGCCACTCAGGAGGCTGAGGCAGGAGAACTGCCTGAACCCAGGAGGCGGAGGTTGCGGTGAGCCGAGATCACTCCATTGCACTCCAGCCTGGGTAACAAGAGCGAAACTCCGTCTCAAAAAAAAAAAAAAAAAAGAACATTGGCCAGGCACGGTGGTTCATGCCTGTAATCCCAGCACTTTGGGAGGCTGAGGAGGGTGGATCACCTGAGGTCCACTTCGTGACCAGCCTGAGCAATATGATGAAACCCTGTCTATAGCAAAAATAAAACAAATTAGGCTTGGTGGCTCACACCTGTAGTAATAGCTACTTGGGAAGCTGAAGCATGAGAATCACTTGAACACAGGAGGTGGAGGTTGTAGTGAGATCATGCCACTGCACTCCAGCCTGGGTAATAGAGCAAGACTCAATCTCAAAAAAAAAAAAAAAACAAAACATTGCTTTGACATAATCTTGGTAGTTTCTCAGAGGGAACGGCAAAGGTTATTTTTATTTTATGAGACAGGGTCTCACTCTGTCACTCAGGCTGGAGTACAGTGGCACAATCACAGCCCACTGTAGCCTTGACCTCCCAGGCTCAAGCAATTCTCCTGCCTCGGCCTCCAGAGTACCTGGGACTGCAGGCACGTGTCACTATGCCTGGATAATTTTTTTTTTCTATAGACAGAGTTTAATCATATTGCTCAGGCTGGTCTTGAACTCCTGGGCTCAAGCACTCTGCCAGCCTTGGCCTTCCAGAAGGTGACTTTTATAGGGTTCTGTAGTCTAGTTAGAGTGGTTTAAGGTGGTCTTTTCAATATGAGGATTTTACTGGGATTGGATACAGTTCATGGTAGAGTAGTTGAAGACAGTACACCCAACAACGTAAAGAAATTGGAGTTAGATTTTTCCCCTTTTTTGACAAGGAAGGCAATTTGCCCAATTGAGTAATCAACTCCTCAGTGCCTGAGAAGGAAGCTTTGCAGCTAGATGAGCAAATTATAGACCAGATGAATGGGACATTCCTAAAGCTCACAATGAAGGTATGGATTGATCTATAGCCTAACTTTGTGGGCAAGAATTTCCTGGAACAAACAGTAAAATGAGGTTGATGTAGAGCTTTTTGTTCTTAGTGGTAAGCTAAAAGTTACAGGTGTCTCCATTCTCACCAAAAAATCATGTGCGTGCGTGCGTGTGTGTGTGTGTGTGTGTGTGTGTGTGTGTGTTTTGAGGCAAGGTCTCACTCTTTCACTCAGGCTATAGTGCAGTGGCACAAGCATAGCTCACTGCAACTTGGAACTCCTAGGCTCAAGCGATCATCCTACCTCATCCTCCTGAGTAGCCAGAACTACAAGCACATGCCACCATGACTGGCTAATGTTTCTCTTTTCTTTTTTTATCAAGAGATGGTGTCTAACTGTGTTGTCCAGGCTGCTCTCAGGCTCCTGGGTCTCAAGTGATGCTCTAGTGTTGGCCTTCCAAAGTGTTGGGATTACAGACATGAACCATGGCACCTTACCTTATGTGTTTTTCTTGTACGAATTTAGAAAATTGCCATGCCAGCTGTGCCCTAAACCCTCAACAGGTAGCTGACTTTTGTTTCCTTAACCTTAGGGTCCATCCATCTTACTTGATAAAGGGGTGTCTATTTTAGTCTCTCAGACCACAATTTTTAATTTTTTTTTAGAGAGTTGGGGAACTTTCTATGTTCCCCAGGCTGGCCTCAAACTCCTGGCCTCCAACAATCCTCCCACCCTCCCAGCCTCCAGAGTAGCTGGGAATACAAGTGTGTACCACCTCACCCAACTACTATAGAATTTTTGCATTTAAAAAAATGAATTTGTTTCTGTATTTTATTATAAAGATTTTCAGACCAACAGTTGAAAATGTTTACTCATGTTTTATTCTTGTTATTTAAAAACAAATCTATCAATCCCTCCATCCTTTCATCAGTCTTAGTTTTTGATGCGTTCCAAAGTTGCAAACATTAGCAAACTTGACCTGAAATACTTCAACATGCATAGCATTAACTATGTCACAAGTATATACTTACAAGAGGCTAAAGATCACCTTTCCCCATCTTAGGTCTTAGTTGGGACTCCTGTAATAAAAGATGGATTAACAAGAAGAAAACAAGTTTATGAACGTATGCTTTGTGCATTAGACAGGAGAAATCTCAGTGAAAAGTAACTGAAAGCAATGGCTTAGAATTCTGTCTTATCAGGGTTTAACAAAGAACAATGAATGTGGGGGGAAATGACAGGGCAAAGGAAGGTGGTTTTAGGCTTCAAAAGGTGGGGGGCTGTGACA